TTTTTCTGGCCCTGCAGCGGTCCTGTCCCGAAAACCGTATTGTTCTGGCTGTTCTGCTCCAGAATTTCTGGAAAACAGCTTTGTCAGAAGGCACTCTTGTAGTTTCAGATTTTTCCTACCCCCATAACATAACGAAAATGCAAACTGTTGCTCATCTCATGTTGTGTGTATTCAGAGGTGTTTAGTAGATGATTATTCTTAAATCCTCCTTCTGTCCTTGAATAAAAGATTTTTTTCAAGTTGGACGGTTTGGGTTTTTTTGGTTTTTTTTTTTTTTTTTTTTTTTTTTTTTGTAAAGAACTGAAAACAGGAATTGGCATCAAAGTAGTATGTTACAGAGAGTTAAAAGTAACCATTTCAAGCAGCATGTTGCTTAACCTCTTGCTATGGTGTCTTATTTAGGTTACTAAAGCTTTGGAAAAATGTGTTTTGGAATATTTTTATAATTTCTGACTCATTTACCCATATCAATCCTCATTTTCCAAGGGTGAAAAAAGAGCTCCCTTCCCAGCTAGAAAGAAAAGGCCAGGAAACTGAGGTGTGAAACGAGTGCCTGATGGAGCAGTGGGTTGCTGCATTTTCCTGGGCATTACAGTATCTGCATGCCATTTTCTCTAGACAAAATGCAGAATAAGCCAGATGTGAGGTCTGTTTATTCTGAAGGTCTGGGCCTTTGTGTGCTAGTATTTTTTGTTTGGGTTGTTTGTTGGGGTGGGGATTCTCTGGGTTCAGATATATCCATTACAGATGTACATTATAAACTTATCTTGTAGGAGCAACTGGTCATGGTGGAACTATCAGGAATTATTGATTCAGACTTCTTAGAAAAATGTGAAAACAAATGCAAGATTTTGGTGAGTGATTATAGCACAATAAGAACGGGGTAAGTCAGTACGCATATGAACAAGGGACTGAGGCTGCTTCTAAGTTCCTTCACGTCAATAACAAATCTTTGTTAGAGAATTGTGTGTACTGTCTTGACTGTATTTGGCTGCATGTTCTGGGCTCTCTCTGTTCTGGAAATGTCATATATTTTTTGAATATAGTATTACCTAAAAATAAGGAAATATTTTTCAGAAGTATTTCTAAACTAGGACCATTATCCCCTTTGATTTCAAGGTCTTAGTTAGTTTTTAAAAAATGATGTACCTTACACATTAAAAAAATATTAAGCACACTTCTTCAAATAACTTGAATACAGCTGACAGGTAAAGCCAAAATCTTTCTGAATTGCACTGTATTTATAATGGGTGTTTTCTGCAGATATTGCCTGACAACTTCAAATGTTGTAAATGTAAAGGATAACTTAGTTTAAGTGTTTGGTAAATGGTTTTGGATGTTTGCCTCACTGTGAGGTTATGGTAAGAATCTGGCTTACCTGTCCTTTTCATTTTGAGTTGTTCAGTCACTTTCTCTGCATGGGACAAATTTTATTTACCCTTCAAAACCTACATGGACTATGAGAGCTGTGTAGATAGTACAAGTACTATTGATTTGAAAATACTTTGTGGAACTAGACCTTTATTATAGACTGCAAAGATGGAAGACAACATCTTGGAGTATGCCACTGATCACAATCTATGTGAGGTGCTAAAGTCAGTTCTGGAAATCTGAAATGTAGAAATACAATCAAAATTCATAAATTATCCATCACTGGATATCTGCTTTTTAGGATCTGACCTAAGTCACTTGAAATGTATTACACAGATGATTTGTTACTGGTGGCTGAATGGCTACATGTTCTTCAGTAGTGTTAATGGGATTATTTCAATTTCTGTGCTTTAAGATTCTCTTGTAATGTTGCAAGAAAAACTTTTAAGTATCTACATTGTATCCTTCTCATGTCCTACCTTTACTTACTCCACCGAGTAAGCATTCCTTGAGATTTTTCGTAACGGACAGCTGTTGTTAAAACTCCAATAGAAGATTCCGCTTTGTGTTACTCTGTTTAGCAAGTTTTCTGTGATGCTGGTCACGTAAGGGGAAAGACAGTCTCAATTTTTGCATAGTCCAAAAAAGAATGGAAAACAGGCAAAGTTTTGAATATTAAAAACCTTAATGTTGTTGCCTAGTACGGATGTATTCATTTTTTAATTAATTTCCTGTAGTAAAAATAAAATAACAAAGATGTTCTATGTGTTAGTGTAATGCTATTGATGTTCTCAACTTACACAGCAGAAAAAGAATCCTAGAGCTTAAATCTTGCTGATCTTAGATTCTTCTGTTTATTAAAAGTACAAGAGGAAATTCCTATTAACCTGCGTGATATTCTGCTTTTTACGCAATTTGCCATTTGGTGCCTCATCTTCAAAACTTTTAGTATATGCCTACTTTCATGTCCTGAATAATGTTGGTATTTGTGATGTACTATTAAAAGACATTTTGCCTTAATTAGTGTATTCTGTTCAGGCATTAATTTTTATCAAAATACAGTTTATAGATATACCTTATGAATAATGGGATCCTAGCCTGTGTATTTGGAAGAGCTGTGCTGCAGGGGAAGGCAATGAGCTGATAGAACTGCTGCCTTACTCTCCCGCTCCTTGTTTAAAAAAATAAGTATAATTTCCAACTCCTTCACAATGTAGACGCACAGTAATCACAGAAGCTTCTGTGACCCTGCAGTTGCACTTCTGCTGTTGGTGTAATGCTTTATGCCAGACTTTTTCACCTTGTGTATTTTCCAAAACCTTTTGAAAGTTATTCCACTTTATAGAGCTTGTGTTAATTTGAGCTTAGAAAATAGCATGGTTTTTTTTTTTTCCTGCAAAAGTGTATATTTGTTAATTTAAAACAGAGTTCAAATTAATTTCCTAGAGGAAATAATAACACTTAAAATTTATTTACTGTAACATAAATAGACAGTTGGCTGCAGTTTGATATAAATTTATTGGATCCTTTATAACATTACTAGAGCATTTTCTATACCAGTTCAGCATTATTGGTTTTGTTGCAATTACTAGAACTGTATTATCTGGTATGTTCTTTGTATTTAATATACTTAAAGTAACTTGTCTGATGATAGACTGAAAAACATACATTATATATTTTTTTAACAGTATGCTTATTCTGCAGTAAGATTGGCTAAACCCTTGGTAACAGTTGTTACCACTGCTTAATGAAGACTCCTACAAAAACAGAAAGAAAACTCCTCCCCTGACTCCTGATGTTTAACATTGCAGAGACCTCAGGGTCAATTGTAATGAGTAAAACTACTTTTATATTTTTAAAAACTAATAAGTATTAATTTAATTGTGTGTCTTGCCATTCTTTCAGAAGCCTGCTGCCTTCTGTAAAATCATAGTTTATGCAGAACTCTCTTATACCCTTCTGTAAGTCCTGTTTAAAAGATACACTTCATGTGAAGTGGGTAGTTTGAGAAAGCTTTACAGTCTGGAATCCACTCCTTTTGTCTAATACCAAAAGAAACTTTTTATTTCACATTTACAGTGATATGGAATACTTATTTTATTGTTATTACCTTATGTTGTTTTAAACTATTTATCTTTTCAAGGAATTTATGTAATCTGGATTCTGCTGTATCTGTCTTCTCTGGTCTCACAGCAAGAAATTTGCCTGTACTAGTAGAGACCTGACATCTGTGCAATTTTGTCCCTCTTTTTGTAGGGAATAGAGACAGAGAGGCCCATTTTGCAAGTGGACAGATATGTATTTGCAGGAGAATATGAAGGTAGGAAAAATGATGTGGATATGTCTCCTTTTTCATGTGGCCCAAAAAACTTTCTTAATGTCAGTTAGTTGCACTGTGAATAGAGAACATGGGCCTGTGAGGTGCTGAAGTTATAGGTGGTGTTTGTATAACACCATATAGAGCAGCAGCAGTCTGAGTTTGCTGCTCAGTTAGCCATGCAGCCATCTTACTTGCTGGAAAGTAAGCTTGGAAGCAGACTCTGGGGTGCACCAGCTAGTATTTCTGCAGGGAAAAAAGTGAGACATAAAATTCCTTAAAGTGCTTGTTGTCTCCTGTATAAGCAGGACTGCTGTGGTATGCAGTCTAGTTTTCCCATTGGCCTTACTGTGACAACATTGGTCTGGAGGAAAATGATCTGGAATCCTCATAGTGACTTTCAATGACCATGATACTCCCATCTGTTCCCGAGTTGGTTACTGCTGCTGGGCCTTTGTGAGGGGCTGGAAGTCAGAACATTCTCAGAGCTGTGCCAGTGGATGCAGTATCTACAGATGAGAGAAATTAGTCTCTAAGACTTTCTCATTTTGTTTTCCATAGATACCTTGGGAACCTGTGTGGTTTTTGAAGAAAACACAGAGCATGGTAATTGTGATTTGGTGTCCTGTTCATTGTGGTAGCCTGGGAAGTTAAAAATAACAACATCTTGTTTCACTTGATAGTGGAATTCACTATAATGATTGGGTTGGGGGTGTTGTTTTTTCTCCTCTCTTCATAGTAGATGCAGAAGGCAACCAAAAAGTACAGCTGAAATACAAGTGCCACACAGTGAAGAAGTTGAACATGACACGAACGCTTTTGACAGAGAAGAAGGAAGGGGAAGAGAATGTTGGTTAGTGCCTCCACTCTTATGCATAGGGACATGGACGGATTATGCTTAGGAGTGTCAGACTTAAGTGTTTGATTCAAGAGCATGCAGGAAGTTAGAGGAACTTTCTTCTTTAGGTAACAAATGTGTATATTTAAATAGAAAAATACAAACCAAAACACGCACACACACACACACATACACACAAAAAGATTCCTTCTTACCAGTACTACCTGCAGAAGTGGCTACTAGGAGATTCCTACAGAAGAGTGTAAGAGCAGGGCAAATACATGCTGACATTCCCTGGTATGTTTTTCTGTCATCTAAAAGCTTTGGCACCACTTCTGAAATCAGAGGTGCTGTTTAGTAGTTCATTGGTTATTTTTTTTTAACTGCCATCAATTTTTCTCATGACTTTTTGAGTCTCTAGAAGTTACATGTTGTATGCACTACAGCTGAATTGTTAAGGGAGAGAACTGAGCACACATACACCATCCTAGGAGTTGCACACACACACCACCTGAGTCTTTCCTGCTAGGACCGGAGTCCCTTTGCAGTGGGTGTCTCCAGTGAGTCGATGAATGCCCCTTTCAGCTCCTTTCACACACACATTCTCACTTTCGAGCACTCCTGTTTTCCTCAGGTTCAGCCCTAGGTTTCCATAGCAGAGTCTCGGGTATTGAATCTTATATGTAAAAATGAAACTATTCAGAAGGGGGGGGTGGGGGGGGCGGTGGAGACGACATGACCAACAGCTCAAGCTAGGTGCCTCTGGAGAGGGACCCTGAACAAAGAAATCCCTGGGCAGTTATACCCTTACAGTCTATGCACCCTCTCTTCACGTGCCTTTCACGTGCCTTTTTGGTCCCCTGGTAATTTCTGGTCTAGCATCTTTCTCTGTCTCCAGGCAGGGTGCTAACTGTTCTTATCTTGTTGAGTTGCAGCTTCTGCTGGTGGTTGTAGCCTCCTTATCTTCTGGTTTGTGCTTCTTGGGCAGAGCATGGGACACTGAGAAGAACTAGACTTAGGATAAGCATTACTTAGCAACAACTAAAACATCAGTGTGTTATCAACATTATTCTCATACTAAATCCAAACCACAGCACTGTACCAGCTACTAAGAAGAAAGTTAACTCTATTCCAGCCAAAAGCGTATCTAGGTGAAAGTTCACAGTCTGTGGCCTAAGGCTTCAGCAAATCTAGCTACTCATGCTAAGTAATGAACAAGCAGTATACCAAATTGTTCAACATTACGCTGTAACCCCTGAGTCCTAATGCTAAATGATTGAGCGAGTCTACTTAAAACTTATATATTTAAGCTAAATATCTAATATGTCTTCACAGAATTGTACTGAGTGAATTTACGGTTAACTGTAAATGAATTTAACTTATTGCAGAGACACACCTAGCAGGCCATTCATCTTGACTTTCATTCTTTCACTTTGTTTCTGTACCCTGACAGAAGTTTAATGTTGTGCATACAAAGTAACTACAACATATTGTGAATTGGCAATACCTAAGTGGGAGGGGAATCCCAGTTCTGTTTGGAGTCTGTTCAATACATGTTGTAAGAGCTTGATATACTTGAGTTCAGGAGATGACACAAATCCTTACGCGATCTCTGATGTCATTCCCTATCATATTACCAGGTGTTCTAAGATTTAGGTGAACAAATATTTTATTCTCTGTAAAGTATTTTCTCAGCATCCTGAATTATATTTAAGCTATTTTAAGAGTCTAAGGGTGGTGTCTGACACCAGATACACCAGGAGCTGCCATACTGGGTCGGACCAAAGGTATTTTAGTCCTGTATTGTATTTCTGACTATGGACAGTAGTAAACATGTATGTGGAAAGTAGGAGGAAGGGGACGTATACATGAGTAAGCCTTTCTTTTGGCTATCCTTCCAGTGTTCAGCAGTTCATTAACATCCTGACAAGAGTTTTTATCTGGTCTGCTGTGTCTGTAGTCCATAAGGGCTCCGTCATCTTCACTTGCTTTTTGAACCTGTCTGTACTTTTGACTTCTACCACTTTTTATGGCAGTTAGTTTTCAAACCACATTTCTGTTGTGTGGAAAAGGCACAACTTTACTGTGGGTTTTCTTGATTGATTGTTTGCTTTTGTGGTTGTTATAAATGTATGATCAGGTGCTTCCAATGAGTGCAAGTTACCTAGTTATTGGAATTAGGAGATAAATCAATCCCTACTTGTTTTCCCAGTACAGCCTTTAAAACATCTGCCCCCTCTGAGCTGTCTCCTCCAAGTAGAATTCTAGTCTCTCTCAGTTTTTGTTGCTTTTTTTTTTTTTTTTT